TAATATATATATATATATATATATATATATATATGATGCTAATATTAGAGTGTGACTCAAAAATAACAAAAAATCAGTTTCCCAAAAAATAAATCTTGATTTCAAGCTTTTCAGGTACAAATATTTTTTGTGTGCTGAGTTGGACCAGAGAGAGTCTCTGTTTCTATTGCCATTCTTGTGTATGGCCTAAAATTTGTAAAGCTCTGGCAAAAATGTGGGGTTTGTTTCCATATATTTCATGCATATGGCCCCATCATGTCATTAAAACTGTTCAAAGTTCTCTGTTACAGAACAAAGATTTTGAGCTGATAATGCTTGTGATAATGCTTATATTTGTGATTAATTGAAGCATATGATTTGATTAACTAATCCACCACTTGTCTTGATAAATCTGGTGTGGGGTATGCCGATTATATGAATCAATAAACACTAATGATTATCTGTTCTACTTGGTGGTTAGAGCTACTAATTAGAGATATAACTGCAAAAACTAAAACCAAGATTCATCTAGTTATGAAAGTAAAGAAGAAAAAAAAAAAGATTCAAAATTACAGATTTCACCTAAAGCTGGGAACTTTATAACTGTTAGAATTAACCTGTTAAATTGTGAGTTTCTTTTTTTTTTATTTCTTTTTCTAATAGTCCTTTCTTTTGTTTGATTTAAAAGGCAAATGGTTCGAGCTCCGTTAGGTGTGGGGTCAACGTAGACTCTGATCCGAGCCCGAGTAATGTAAAAGCTCTGATTGAGATAGCCGATGAGATGCTGAAACAGAAAAATGTAGAGTCTGTTCTGTTTAGCGGCAAGCGTATTGGTGAACAAAGCAATTTCGAAAAAATCGACTGGTTTGCCGAGCAACTTGTGTTAGAGCATCAGCGAAGGAGTAGCCGTATAGCGCCAACTGTCGCATTCAAGCAAGCCAATAGAAAACATCCTTAAAAGAAACATCATTAAAGCAGTAATCATAATATTCGTGAGGAAAGGAAAAACGGTATGCCCGAATTCTCTTCTCCTCCATTTGTCTGCTTTATGTTCTCTGTGGCACTTTGTGTAGTCAAGCACTCATATATATAATATTGATAGAATATCAAATGTGAAGGGAAGTTAAGTTTTAAAATGTGTTTTTTTCTGCTAATGAAAGAGACTAAAATGTATGAGTATCTTTTGTAGGCTTGTATAGCTATGCATGTTAGTTGGTTTATTCTAAACATCAAGGGTGAATTTGTGTGTTAACACTATATTTTAATCATTTCTTCACAAATCACGTCGCGATCGAGCCGTACTTCATGTAATTAAACAAAACAATGTTTTTTTTTCCAACAAAACTATAATGTTGTTATAGACAGATGCTGCTGTTTTTCCTTGTAAATACATTGAGATGGTAAATGGTCCCCAATTTGGCTGTCATGTCATTTTCTTTTAGTGATTCAAAGACAACGGAAAAACACAGAATGAAAATAGCCTATGGTTGTTGCAATAGTGAGGTGAAAATGGAATTTAAGACAAACAGGGTTATGTGGGGAAGAGGTCGAAGCATAAAACACTGTTTTTCGGTCCACCGACACTGATTCTTGGAGGATATCAAAGGTTATTATAGTCTTTTGCTTTTGTCCAAAGAGTGTTTGGCCTTTGGAAGAGACTTTAGAAAGATCTTGTTTTATTGGACTCTTGATTCTTGAACATAGGCCATGCATCTGTACTGTGGCATTCTTGAACATGGCATTCTCTCTCTCTCTCTCTCTCTCTCTCTCTCTCTCTCTCTCTCTCTCTCTCTCTCTCTCATGTACAAAGATATATGTCATGGACTCTAGAAGTTTATATTCGGGTGGTAAATCTGTCGTTAGGCGGATATTTTTTTATTTAATCGAATATGCATGCTTT